AAGAAACGTTAGAAAATTAGACGCCAGAGATCATCTTTATGATTTAGGGCTATCACGTCGATGCCATCGGAAGCTAATGTATGCATATGAAGCATCTAATATCCCCTAGCGTGTGCTGAAAGCCGAGAATTTCACAATGTCAATAGAGTTGTAATCTATACTATATGTATGCAGTGCTTATGAGCCGAGCGATAAACCTGTCAGATGCCATATATAGTCAGCGATAATTTTATTAAATGTGCTTAATCCGCAGACGTGACTTACAGCATCCGATACTAAATCTTGCACTAAGCACTCTTGTGAGTGCCGAAATATTGTTAGGCCGCACAACGGACTTGCTAATTCGAGTCGCCTCAAGTTTAATGCCTGATAAGAGAAACCACCTGAAATGTACTTCTCAAAAAAGCCCCTTTAATACATTCGGAGGCATCCCCGATGGCAGAGCCAAAGCGCCATTCACAGTGTTCCGCTATCATCGGGCATAGAAGTGTTGTTAAACATTAACCAATTGGATTACATCGGATTCTGAGTAAATAAATAATAATAGTACTATATAGTTAATATGTAATGTAGGCAATTACTGGACAGAGAGTAGCTGACTCTGGCACTGCGTCTTAACGTACGACTTCTGTGTTTGTCCAAGTCCCACAGGTTTATGGCACAATAGAGATAGCTAAAGCCGATTCTCACCTTAATCTTGAGCGACTTCTAACGCCGGCCACTCCATATAAGATAGCAAGTCAAGAGCAGAGCATCAACAATCGTCACTTGACTGTTGCCCGCTGAGCATGTTGTTACGGGGGAACTGTCAAGTCCTCAGCTCCTTCTCCACATAAAGTGCGCTTGAATCGCAAGAGTTTAACCCCAAAATATGGATTTCGATCGGGTGCTCGAGAAGTGCGGAAGTTTCGGACGCTTCCAATTCGTTATCTTAATACTGTACGGCTATACGAATATATTGAGCTCATTGCATTACTTCTCGCAAACCCTTATAACATTTACGCCGGAGCATTGGTAAGTATTACCCATAAAACTGCTTGAGATCGTAGCTTATTGATTGGCCTCTTTAGGTGCTCCCACGATGATCTTCATGGCCTCAGTGCCGAGTCGATACGCGCCGTTTACTCCAATGTAACTGATCCCGCCTGCACTCTACTCAGTGGCGTCGTCAATGGCACGGGCATTGCTGCCGAGCAGGAAGCCTGCCAGAACTGGATCTTCGAACGGGAAAGCGGCTACGAGAGCTTGACGACGGAGCTCCGCTGGGTCTGCGACAAGTCGCATCAGCCAGCCGTGGGCCAGTCCTTCTTCTTCATTGGCTCCGTGGTGGGCACCATTACGTTTGGCTACCTCTCGGATCGCATTGGCCGGCTGCCGGCCATGCTCATGGCCGCCTTGGCTGGGGCATCCGGGGACTTTATGACCTCATTTGTGCACACCCTGCCCTGGTTTGCGTTCTCCAGATTTGTGTCGGGCCTCTCCACCGACACGATGTACTATTTGATGTACATTTTGGGTGAGTAGTCTACCGGATATAGTCTACTGGATGGTTGAGTAACAGGACTTTACGCCGATTTTTAGTGTTCGAGTACCTCAGCCCGAAACGTCGCACCTTTGGTCTTAACATCATACTCGCCTTCTTTTACTGCTTCGGATTGATGACCTCGCCCTGGCTGGCCATCTGGATTGGCAACTGGCGCCACTACCTGTGGATGGCCTCCTTGCCCGCCCTCGGCGTGCTCGGCTATCCGCTGCTGATCTGCGAGAGCGCTCAGTGGCTGCTCACGAAGAAGAGATACGATCAGGCCGTCAAGTGCCTCAAGTGGGTGGCTAACTTCAATGGGCGACAGGTGGAGGACTCTGTGTTCGACGAGTTCATCAAGCACTATCGCGAGAAGGTGATCGAGGAGGAGAAACACACGAAGCACGAGGACACATTTATGGGCATGTTTAGAACACCGCGTCTGCGCCGCTTCACCCTGACATTGCTGCTCAAATCGTAAGCTCCATCTAATTTGATTTGATTCGACAGTCATCTCATTTTGTTTACTCCAACAGCGTCATTATTACACTCTCTTACGATGTGATTAACCGCAATATGGAGGGCCTGGGCACCTCGCCCTTCAAACTATTCTCCTACACCTCGATCAACTATTTGCCAGCCGGCTGCACCATTCTGCTGCTGCAGAATATTATCGGGCGCAAGGGCATGGCCTGCGGGGCGCTACTGGTGGGCGGCATCATTACCACAGTGACGGGCTTCCTTATTGCCTTCCTGGATCCGAAGGAAAACGCGCTCCTGTTGGCCATCATGATCGGCCTGGGTCGCTATGGGTCGACCGTCTCCTACGATGCGGAGATTCAATACGCCGCCGAGATAATACCAACTAGCGTCCGAGGACGTGCCGTCTCCAACATTCATGTGATTGGACTGGCCTCCAGCTCGTTGTCCTTCTACGTGATCTACTTGGCAAAGTTTTACAAGCCACTGCCGTCGATATTCATAAGTTGTCTCATGTTCCTTGGCGCTGGCCTCTGTCTGACGTTGCCGGAAACTTTACACAAGTAATGCCCATTGCTTATCCAAAATACCTAAAGCCATTTAATAACTTTGCTTTCTGCTATCTAGAAAACTTCCTGATACCCTGGCCGAAGGGGAACGCTTTGCGATGAACGAGGGCTGCCTGTATTTCCCGTGCATCAAGAAACATCGCGAAAGCCTCACTCCAAATGGCGATAACAAGTCTGATGCTTAGGTCTCTGCTTACCTAAATCTATACACCTGAAACTGAATATATAACCAAACCCTATAACCTGACGATGAGCTTAACGATATGTTAGTTCGTGCAACTGAATGGTCTGATAAGTATTACTCATGTAAAGAATGCATAGTAATTGGGATTTAGCCGTTAAATTTTATATACATGTATTCCACTTAATCTATTTTGATTTTAATTAAACTGAACTGAAAACTAACAGAGTTTACCTTAGTTTAATCTACATATACATCATTAAGTTGATTATTATTTTATTTTTTGTTGAATTTCTTTTTCCCATTAAAAATTATTCGCATTTGAAACTCATATATATACATACATACATACATAATATATGTATGTGTATATTTCCTCGACTCAGATTAAAATATATATAGAACTAATGGGGAAGCCGGACTATCAGAGCTAGTTGTGATATCTTCCAAGCAACATTTCTGGCATATTCAAATATACTGATAATACTAAACAGATTAACATGTGAATAGGCATTATACAGCCGGAACATATCCTAAGCACATGAACTAAAATAATAATAAAATTAAATGTATTAAATAAAATGAAAGTTGACAGAAATTAAATAACATATGTATAGCCCAGTCACAGAGACTTGGATTCTCTGGCGCCAAACTAAATTTAAAAATATATTCAACTCAACTCACTGATTTTATTTAATATTATTTATATTATATTTTCCTGCCTGTTACATAGGCATGCACATAGACATTATACCCGATTTATTCAACTTAAATTTGAGCAGAATTTCAGTACTCTTTGCTTAAGCCCGCAATGAACCAATTGGCAGTTCAGTATATAAGCTTCGATCGTCAAGAAGTGTTGCTCAAGAAGAAGTGTTGTTAAAATGGGAAAGTTTTTAATATTGGTGATAGCTGTGGCATTGTATGGCACGATTACGACAGAATCTAAAACTATGATGCAGAATCGAGCAAACGAATTAAAGTGTTTCCAAAAAAAACAAAAGATTGGAAACTTATTTGTGCACTATTCGCAAAAGAGAAACGAGACTATACACAAATGTTACAAGTTGATACAATTATCAATTGAAAATATAGATAAAGTAAAGGAGCAACGGCTAAGGGATATTATAGCTGAAAGAGATGCTCAGATTCTCAATTTGACAGAACAAGCTAGAGTCATCACAGCTGAACTAGCGCTAAGGGAGAGCGCAAAAAATAAACTAGATAATAATTTGAAAAATTTTCAAAGTCAACTTGAAAAGAAAAACAATGAAATTAAAAAATTTGCAAACAAAATTAAAGACCTCGAAACAAGGCATAACAAATTGCAAGGAAACTTCAGTGAGCTAGAAGGAAATCTGAAAATATGTAAAAATAATGAAATTATAAACAGTGAGTTTGAGAACAAAAAAATGAATACCCTCGAAACAAGTTATAAAAAACTACAAGAGAACTTCACGGAACAAGAAGAACATCTGAAAGTGTGCAGAAATAGTGAAACCAAATTTAAAACCCTCGAAATAACCTTTAAAAAATTACAAGAAAACTTCACGGAGCAAGAAGAAAATCTGAAAATATGTAAAAATAATGAAACCAAATTGAAAACCGTTGAAACGAATTTAAAAAAATTACAAGAGAACTTCGCTGAACAAGAAGAAAATCTGAAAATTTGCAAACAAAATGTTAGCGAAACAGTTAATAACCTTAAGCAAGAAGAAGATCTGAAAATATGTAAAAATAATGAAACCAAATTGAAAACCGTCGAAACGAATTTAAAAAAATTACAAGAAAA